GGAGCTCTTTAAAAACACTTTCTCAACTAAGGAGTCTTAGTTTTCAGGTATTTCAGGTTAAATATTTCTGCCTGCAGTATTCTCAGCAGGCATCATCTGACCCTAAATGAGAGTTTAAGAGGTAGGAGGATGAAGTAGAAATTTAAAGATCTCTTAAAAATCGATATAATGTTAAATAGTACAAGATACTGAAATGTGGAAAAATCGCTCTTGAAGAAACAGCTGAATAGCTGGGCCAGAGTGCAGTAGGTCAGGTTCTCCTTATGAATTAAACAGGAAGATGTGTTCGTGAGGGAGGCACACACCTGAGACAGCACACTGCAGAGCAGGTGTAATCGGCCAGACAATGAGGGCTTCACAGCAAAAGCTACAGACAGCTGTCATGGTGGGCACAGGTTTGCACTGGGAATATCAGAAGATTCCCTTTCTAAGTTCCTGAAGTTTTCCTATTGCAAAAGCAATTCTTCCCTAGAATTTTCCCACAAGGAAAAGGATTCCCATGTTGTTTAGAAATAATTAAATAAAAGACTCTCTTAAGCCCTTGTTCACATGAGTCTAGAGACAAAATAAGCCTCAAACAGAAAAATATCCTAACTCTTCTCTTAACTCTGTATTATACTTGAAAGACTTCTTTTTTTGGTACCAGATTTCAAACTCGAGTCCTTGTACTTGTGAGGCACGCACTGGAACCAGTGAGCTATATCCCCAGCCCTGAAAGAATTTTTTTTAGAATAAGAGTTTTGAAAAGATTTAGTTGAAAAGTTTGTTTAGAAGGAATAATCTTTTTAAAGATTGATGACAAGGAATTTGTACTACAGATTATATATTAGATTATGAAGAATGGATGTAATATTCAAATACTTTTTAGTGTTTTTCTAATGAAGTGATGATATATTTTAAACTGTTACATGAGGAAAAGTGTCTGGATTTTTTTCATTATTTTTGGCTAAACTTTATCCTTTATTTCTCACATTGAACTTATTCTCCAACATCCTAATGATAGAATCCCATATTATTTTTTCTGAGCCTTTATTGCTAAGTATTGGTCTAATTAAAAATTTCTTCAAAACATAGTCCTTTATCTCGGAATTTCCCTGTGTTCGTTCCAAAAATGTTGGATATTTTCAAAGCTGAATGCACTTTCTGTGGATGCTTTGAGCGTGGAGAGGGGCGGGAGGGCAAAGCCTCCTGGATTCTATCTCCGACCCAGTTCCGAGAGCAGTTCCCCATTTTCTGGCCCCTGTACAGTTCACTATAAAACTTTAATCCTTTCACAACAATGGTCACGAGAGATATTGATATTGACATAGCGCTGCTTATACTCATGTCTGAGTTTTTAAAAAATGAGCCACAAAAGGTAACACTAAGTTTAGCTTTGGTAATGCCATGGTATGGAATATAAATAAATCTTAGTGTTAAAATAAAATTTTAAAACGTCCAAACTTTGTACCACAGCTGAGTTAAAGCCTGACTTTAATAGTTAGAAGATGATAGGATGCATGGAATGTCCCTATTTGAGAACTTCTGAGTAACCTGGAATTTGGAAAACGACCTTGTGGCTTGCTTGGGGCACATACATTAAACTCCTGAGTATTTGCCACCCCGAAGTCCAGCAGATGCTTTGAATTGGTCCAATCTGAGTAGTGAAATTATTTTTTCTTTCTCTGTTTTTGGTACCGGGTATCGAACTCGGATTCTTTCGATTGCAAGGGAGGCGGCGGAAGCAATGAGCTAAATCCCCGGCCCCAAAGTTATTTTTTCTTATGAGCCACATTTTCAAGTTGTCCTAGAATCCAGAAACTTCTGCACACTAACTCTAAACAGTCATGTCTTGAGGCCTACCTCTCTTGTGAACATTGGGCATCTAAGGTTTTCATAAATGAGTCTGCCCAAGAATCCATATGTTCCGTTTGACCGAGCACAAATGGCTGAGCGTCAGCAATTAGATTTATAGCCTAGCAAGTCATAGTCTACGTAGCATGTGTAGGATTAATCCTACGGGTCCTCGTGTGGTACATTCCACTTGGCACATCTGAGGACAGGGGTTAAGACAAAGTGTGCCAAGCCAGAGACGTTTCTGTTCATTTGTGCTTTGCTTGCTCATGGCAGGAGAGGCCCTCAGTGCAGAGGAGCACATCAGAGTGAATGCACTCAGAACACGTGCTCCAGGGATGGCAGGGAACGATTAGCCTTTCAAACCATTAACCGCTAATGTGAGCCACCTTTGCAGGTATTTTAGTTCTTTTCACTCTCTGTGTTTGCATTGATACTACATGAAAGATAATGACATTTAAGAAAACAAAGCAGAAAATGAGGAAAGTCCCATTTCAACATGGAAAATTCTTCAAGGAATTATGAAGACTTTTGTATTATTTAATGGTTGTATATATCTTAACTACACTGTCCTTTAAATTGTTCTAGATTACTATGAATAATTTATAAATATGTCCTACCCATTTGATAAAAATATTCCCAAACAAGAAGCAATATTTTAAAAATGGATAGACTTTTGTTTTCACAAAATAAAACCATTATAAATGTGTAGAATTCTACATAAACTCCTGTGTTCACCATAGTCTTATGAATGACAGCTGTTCTGCTCACAAGTCACTGTTCTTTTTTGGTGTGGATGAAGATATTTAACCTTCTGTATGTTTGCTTTTCGCCTCTAAAATGGGGTTAGTAATTTTGACCTTTGGCCCTGAGATTTACTTTACTCTGCAGTAAAGGAAAACATTAATGTCTATAAATTACCCTGGGATCTATGGATGAAAAGTGCAAAGTAGAAGAAGTTATTCTATTTTAAGAAAGGAAGAAATAGACACCGTTAAGTAGATTCATTTCACACGTGAGCTCTGCTCCACTGCAGTTGAAGAGAGTGCTTACAAGAGTGGCAGATATTCACAAACACGTTCAGACTGGTAAGCACTAATGCTGAGAGCATTGCCATTCCAAACACAGGGAGACTTGCTGGCCTGATCAGTTTGCTTCTTCATTTATTTATTCACAGCTGAGTTCCACATTCTTGCTGGCAGGTAGGGAAATGAGCCAAGCATTCTTGCTGGCAGGTAGGGAAATGAAGATTGCTTAGCTTGTGCTTTTAAAATGAACCCAAGAAAAATATTAAATTCCAAATATTTCATAAATGTATTTTAGCAAATATGTCCATATAACTCTTATACCTCTTGATCCTGAGAGAAAAATTAAATGCATTGTGAAAGTTGAAGCAGCTCTGTAAATACCTTCTTTTTCTTTATCCTGACCTCTAAGTCAGTCTTCCACTGCACTGCCTTTGATCCTGGAAAAGAGGATGCTAGGCATCCATTCTCTAGAACTATGAAGGCCATCTGCTTTGCTCTTACTCTTTCAATTTCCCTTTTGAAAAAACAGAAGAACATGAACTAGATGTCTAGACATGTTTTCTACTTCACATCCCTATATTTTTCTGTTACAAATACTCCCTATGCTGTGTTTTACCCTCTTCCCTGACTGAGATCTGAGCTGACCAAATGGTTTAAAATCTGATAGGGTTTCTTTTATATAAAAAACTCAATATATAAATAAAGTGCAATATAAAAGACAGATAATAGGAAAAAATAGAGTTAAAAAGTTATTGTAATCCAGCATGGGCAATGTATCTAAAAATGTACCTTGATTTAGAATAATTGTCCTATATGTTTTAAATGTATTTTGGCCTGCTAGTCTTGTTGCTATCTGTATGCATCATAGTTAACTTTATAGAGATTTATAAGATAAATGAATGGATATTATGTTAGCAAAAAAGGGAGGAGAGGAAGGAGAAAAAAATTGAGATATGTACATGTACCAATTCTTCACGATGAATGTAATCATTAAGTACTAAAAATATATAGTGAATTTTTAGAAAAATTTTAAAAAACTAGATTGTCAAGCTTCCAATATCTGAGGAGGTGTGACTAGGAAATTTTGCCAGCTGAAATGGTATTTATTATAGGTTGCTGTTTTGTATTCTATGAAAGCATCTATTTTTTAATGTTCAGCCTCTGGTATGCACCAACTCATAAGTATTGACCTTTTAACCTAATAACACAGGGCCATAATTTTATTTCTCAAAATTTTCTATTATTTATAATGATCTAAGGAGCTGAATTCAGGTTATTCCCCTATGGCTGCCTGTCGTTTGTGACATTTTCTGACCACAGTCCCCCATTAGAATCTTTATTTTCAAACATGAAGCTAATAATGATCATAGAAGATTTGGCCCTTGCTCTATTAGTGGCCAATAGTCTATAGCTTTGTAGTTTTTACTTTCCTGGGAAAGATCATTTATGCATGACTTGCAAGGTGAAAACAAATTAAGTAGATGCAGATTCTAGGCTGTTTAAAGTCATTTTGTATGCGTTAAGAGAGGCTAAGCTTCAAGCACTCTCCCAGTTCAGGATGAACCCCTGAACTTCAAGATGCTTATGTGATTGTGACTGTTTCTCAGTTCTTTCAATATCGTGAAGTGCTTTGTGGCAGCTTCTGTGGTAGAAATCCAAGCAGGTAATGAGAAACATCCAGTACACATATAAGTCAACTGTTTCAAAGAAAAGATTAAAAGAATTATTAGATTAATTTAAGGCCTATTTTGCAAGCTTAAATTTCTAACCCACTTTTCACTTTATGAAAACAGCACAAAAGTCTGAATTTGATATGTGCCTCGGCCTGGAGAATGAATGAATTAAAATCACATTTAGACATTTGAACTGTATATTTCATAGTAACAAAAATAACTTACTGGAGGTCCACTTTGGTGACATTTCTGAAGTGATGGTGACAAACTGAAAACTAACCTACTTGACTGCATTTGTCTACTAAATTATCTTGGAGCAGAAAACATTATCAATGGAGATGGTTCTACCCCTACTATCCTGAAAGCCACCTCTGCACTACACTCAGGGTTTAATAAGGAACCTTGTGGGTGGAAAAGAATGTATTACTTATGTATGGTGTCCCTTCTGTTCCTTTCTTTTCTGCAGAGACTGAAGGAATTAAAGCAACGGGAGTTTGCTCGAAATGTAGCTTCCAAGTCATGGAAAGATGAGAAGAAACAAGAAAAAGCTCTTAAAAGGCTTCATCAGCTGGCCGAATTAAGGCAGCAATCTGAGTGGTAAGAATTAGAGGAATTTGATTTTCTTTTTTTTTCTTCCTT